TTTTTTTTTGGTTGCAGCCATTATTGTTGTTTGGCGGGTCTGGGCTGGATTCGAACCCGCCACCTTAGGTGTATGTGGCTGGCGCCCTAGCCGCCTGAGCCACAGGCGCCGAGCCTCAATATGCTTTTTTATATTAACAGACTTCTAGTCTACTTTGTTTTTGATCAAAGTGCATACTTTGTATAATTCCAGTTCTCTTAAATTTATTGAGACTTACTTTATGACCCAGTAACTGGTCTAGTCTGGTAAATGTTCCATTTAAGCTGTTATTGTGTAGATCAGTCTTTAGATATTGAATGGGTCAAGTTGACTGGCTGTGTTATTCAAAATCTCCTATATCCATACTGATGTTCTTTTTTTGATTTATTTTTTGTTTTGTGGTTTTTGTTCTCAAAATAAGCCAAGACCATTAAACAAGTGAAGCTCTGACAATTAAGTCTTCTCTTACAGCGAGAATAACTGTGCAGTTACTCAAAGCTGATTCTGCCAGTGGGGCTGGGGACAGAAGTGAGTGGGAAGGGTGAAATCATGGAAGAGGGCCTGCAGAAGAGGCTGGGGGAGAATAGGTTCAGAGTCCTGCCTATCAGATTGTAGCTACCTGCATCTTATACACTCTGCAAACAGTGGGGTGGTGAGTCAGCTCTTCCTTCCCTTTGTGTATGAGAAGGCATCCTTCACCACCTTCCAGTGCCAGTCATTGTCCACTCACCCTTATGGGGCATGAACAAGACAGGACCAGCTGGGGAGAGGTAAGGGTCCTTTGAAAAGGACACCCTGCTGATTCCAAACGAATTTGCCTATCCATCTCACTTGCCAGGGCTGGTGGGAGAGGGACTAGAGAACCCCTGGGAGTTTAGACACAGGGTGATCAGCAAAGCTACCAAAACACAGAGGGGATAGATTGGGGGACTTGCATAGGTTGATGAGTGTACAAGAGGTATACAAACCCAATACTATACCCTTGTGAAATAATTTCTGCAGTATGGGTACCAATTCTAATTTGTAGGTCTGGAATAATTTATGTAATCATCTAGTCTGGAACTGATTTTCCTTGGAAGATTTTTTATTGCTATTTCCATTTCATTACTCAATGTTGGTCTGTCCAGGAGTTAGGGATATTGTCTGTTTCTAAGAATTTGTCCATTTACTGTACATTTTGATGTTTATGTGCAGAAAGATATCTTACTGATTTTCTTTCTACTTATTTCATTGATTACTAAGAAGAGTGTTAAATTCTCCAGATAATCTATTCATGGATTTCAATTCTATTGTGAAACTCAGTTATTGGGTGTATACTTACGATTGTTATATCCCCAGGATAGATCAACACTTTAATTATTATTAAATGACTTTCTTCTTCCCTGGTAACATTCCTTGTTCTAAAAATCTAATTTGTGTGATGTTAGCATAGTCCTACTCAACTTTCTTATGATCTGTTTGCATAAGTATATTATCTTCTATCCTTTCAAGTTTTTAAAAATATAAAGTTCTACACAGCATGTAGTCAGGCCTTACTTTTGTATCCAATATTACAATTTTTGGTTTTTAATTGGTTTAGTTAGGCCATTTATATTAAATGCAATTTTTGATATGATTGGACTTTACCATCTTGCTATTTATTTTCTCTTTTCCCTTTCATATTTTGCCCTGCTTTTCCTCTTTCACTTTTTTTCTTTAGGTTAACCAAGTTCTTATTTGTCATTTAATGTGAACTATGGCTTATTAGCTGTAACTCTTTGTTTTTTATTTTGTTTAATGTTACTAGATTGTACGTCTTTTATGTAACAGCAAGTACCTTAAAATAACATTATGCCATTTTGCATTGATGTAAAAATCTTAAAATAGTTTTGTTTTTCCATCTTTTGTCCTCTGTGCTGTTGTTGATATAAACATTACTTCTACATAGTCTATAAAACCCACAGTGCATTATTGTATCTTTGCTTGAAACAATCATTTTCCTTTTAAATATACCTAGAAGTGATTAAAATACATATTTTATATTTACCCACATATTTACTATATTCAGCATTCTTCAGGTTTGTGTAGTCTTAGATTTCCATCTGATTTCATTTTTATTCTGCCAAAGAGCTTACCTCAATGTATATTATAGTACAATACCGTGTGTGTTAAATTCTCTAAACTTTTTTTCCTAAGAAAATCTCCAGTTTACCTTCATTTTAGAACTATTTTAAATGTATAAAGAATTCTAAGCTCTGTGTAGTAGTTCATGCTTGTATTCCTAGCACTCTAGGAAGCCAGGGCAGGTGGATTGCTTGAGCTCAGGAGTTCAAACTAGCCTCAGCAAGTGAAACCTTCTCTCTACCTTTTTTCTAAAAATAGAAAAAGTAGCTGGGCATTGTGGTGGATGCCTATAGTCCCAGGTACTCAGGAAGCTGAAGGATAGTTTGAGCCTAGGAGTTTGAGGTTGCTGTAACAACAACAACAGTGCTCTACCCAGGGCATCAGTAAGATTCTGTCTTTAAAAAAAAAAAAAAAGAAAGAAAGAAAAGAAAGAATGAAAGAAAGGGGAAAAAAAGAATTCTATATTGGCAGGTTTTTGTTTTTTTTTTTAATGCTTGAAAGATTTTTTTTTTTTTTATTGAATGGTAACTATGTATATTAATGCACTTCTGGGGTACAGTGTGGGATTTTCACACATAATCCAAAACACTTCCATCAAACTGGTTAACATAGCCTTCATGTCATTTTCTTAGTTATTTTAAAACGTTCACATTCTACTCTTATGAAAGATTCACTTGTAAGATAAACCTCAGAAGTGATCCCTCCAATCCCTCTCCCTCCACCCATTTCCCCCTCCCCTTTCCCTCCCCCTCCTCATATTCTTAGGCTGTTATTACTTTATAGCTTTCATATAAAAGGTATAAATTAGTTTCATAATAGGGGTGTGTACATTGGACACTTTTTCTTCCATTCTTATGATACTTTGCTAAG